TAGCATAGTGTAGGCCCATTCCAGATCGGCTGCATGTCAGTCCATGCACGAACTATGCGAAGTCTAACTGACTCGTCCTAGCTCGAATACGACTCTGTGCTCTCGCTTCCGACCGATATTCAGCTCTTCACCCGGGACACATCGCCAACTAGGCTGAGCCAAAGCTGCTATTCCTGCCCACTCGGATCCCTACTCATGCCCACTAGGGCGACACCTTGAGTCAAGGTCCTTGAGTTAGCATAGTGTAGGCCCATTCCAGATCGGCTGCATGTCAGTCCATTGCACGAACTATGCGAAGTCCTAACTGACTCGTCCTAGCTCGAATACGACTCTGTGCTCTCGCTTCCGACCGATGTAGACTCTTACTGTACCTCAATGAAACCGTACACACTCGTTAAGAGGGTTCCTGAGACGCTCGTGCGAGTAATATGCATCGGAACGTGAAAAGTGGCTGGTGAAGTAGAAAAGTAGCCGTAGCAAAAAGTAGTAGGGGAGGTTGCGCCAGTAAGAAAAAGTTTGTGCCGCGGAGAGAAGATTTTTAGGCGCGCGGGGAAAATTTTGTGCCAGAAAAAAAATGGTACGGACATCCAGCTTTATCATGACATTGGGAGACTACGTGCTCCGCGAAGCCCTTCCTTTCGGACGTATCCGCCGGAATGAAGTAGCAAAGCCGGTAAGCCTGAATGCCGTTCAGGCGGGCAGTGGTTACGCACTTCAACCATTAACCATCATCCGCAACAAAGAAGTCGGCGAGCTCCCGAGCCAGGGCCGGGGAGCAGGACCATGGACATAAAGTAGGGTACCCCCAGTCTCACCAGGAGGGTTAGAACACTGTAGGATAAGTCGAGCTGACGGGGATTGCCATTGCATTTTGAGTAGTTTCTTCCGGGCGGGCTTACCAGGAGCAACACTCACTTCTGCTGGGGGGGCTCCCGATATCAGCATCCAGGATTATTGCAAGCCGCCCATCGACCTGATCAGATCTTGCCATGATCATCAGACTCACAGTCGTCGACTACAGCCTCACGACCGTCAAGCAGGATTTCTTTTATAATTCGCCGGGAGACACCCAATCGGCTCAGAGCATCGGCCTCCTCATTCTGGTCAGCGGCCACATGACTTAGTTGAGAGTAAACACCATACCGTCGTCTCCACGCGTCCCGTAACTCACAGACAGCATCGCAAAGGCGCGCCAAGGCAACCCGCTCGACCGACGGGCAAGTCAATCTAGATCCACCCTGCACCCAGCTCAAGACCGTCCAGGAATCGGACATGATGCGGAGGCCAAGAGGACAAGTAAATCAAAAGGCCTCAAAATTTTCGCAGACGTTGTGCCTACCAAAGTACTCAGATATCCAACTCCTCATCCGAACACTGTTATAAAAGGGTTATGAACAAGGAAAACCCTTGAAAGCCTTCACTCTTGATGTAAAAAGTGCATTCAGGGTAGTATGTATCATCCCGAAAGCGGCCTCTAATCTCAATGTCCGGTGTGGAAACGAGATTTTCAGACACCTACGCCTAGCCTTTGGTCACCGTAGCTGCGCTTAGGGAAAGCGCAGCTTCTCCGCGGTTGAAACCGTGCCAGAGAGTTGTCTTTCGGCGAAGCCTGGTTTGGGACTGAATTTTGCGATTGACAAAATTGCTGCCGGCACAAAGGGACAGACCGGAGTCCTTCAAGCTGCCAAGCTAGTCACACAAGTCAGACTGGCTTGACAAGCTGTAGTATATGTGTGAGCGTGATATTTTTTTAACCGAGAATCTTGCTAGGACTTAACTAGCGGCCTTCTGTATGTTGATGGTATGTTGTATGTAGGAACAGAACGAACTATTCTGCTATCCATAACCTTGACTATCCTGTTCTGGAATATCTGCGGTCTCACCCTGACCTACGAGAAGATTAGCGTTGGCGAGGTAACCAAATTGTTGAGCTTCCAAGTAACAAAGCATCAAAACAATTATTGTAACATTTGCGTCTGATAAGCCCCAAGCTGCCATCACAGCTCCTTACTCACAAATCACTATGCTTCTGAGACTCATTCATCAGATTCTGTCCAAAGAACGAATAACACCTAAGCGGTTGTCGAGGCTTACGGAGAAACTGGTTTGGGCCTTACAATGCTATCCATTGCTCAAGCCGTATCTTGGATCGTGTTTTCAATGTATTGCTATGCCAGAACGCAAAGCCTTGGCGTGTGCCAGGCTTCCCTACTTTGAGAGGATCTCTGGTTTATCGAGAAGTTCTTCCGGGCCACCAATCCCGAAAGTCTCTATTTTGAAATGCCAGGTGAGCCTAGTAATCTAGAGTCTGTAAGACTGGTTGGTTGCGACGCCTCCTTGCATTCGTTAGCAGGATTCGTCTACTGTTGTCGAACTTGGCGCTATTGGAGCTTCGAGGTGGTGCTTCGAGGCTACCTATCGAACTTAAGAAGAACTTAATCAAGGCTAAGTCCAACTCTAGTCATGTAGACATCTGTGTGCTGGAACTATTAGCATGTCTGGCATCTTAGTACCCTCCGCGTAAGCGCAAACGTGCTAAAGTATTACAACATGCGAAACCATCGGGCAAAGCCCTTGCTGCCTTTCTTGCGGGTTCACTTGCTGTCAGTACTCGTGCTACTTATAACTGTGCCACCTCGATCTATGAGAGATTTATCTCGCCCGAACCGGCATTCCCGCTCACAATTGAGCACTTGAGAAATTCATCTGCAATATGACCAAAACGACTGGCGGCGAACATGATTATAAGTACTCCTCGATTAAGACCTACATCAAAGCTTTGAGGCTTTTCTTGGCTTCTCTCTTGATGGCTCTGCTGAACATGGGCTGAAAGCGGCACGGCAAAGTGCCACGAAGCGAGCCCTGGGTCCCGAAGCCGAGGACAGAAAGGTTCCGTTGAGTCTCCACGAGGCGAAGAGGCTGAGCCCCTTGAGTATAGTGTCAGGTTCAAGAGCAGACCTTAGAACCGTGCAAATTGCTAGCTTATGTGCCATCTTTGGACTACTTCGCGGGCGTGAAACACTGTCAGTACTCAGGGAAGATGTCGATGTGAGACCCAACATGGTCATTATCAGTATCGAACAGTCAAAGACTCACCAAATTAGAATGGGGCGAAAGGTAAAAGTCGGCTGCGTCGGCTGCATCACCGCTACCATACTGTGCTTCCCACCGCCTTGCTGCCTGGATTGCCATGAACCTCTTCAGAGGTAAAGACTTACTCTTCCCGAGTTTGAACTATGCCGACTGGCTGGAGAGACTACAAGTCGCTCTGCAATTCCTCAAAGGGTCTGCAAACCTTGACCAATGGACTCTCACAGACTTGGGCATCTCGGCACCGGTGTTACTTTTCCACATCACTTAGACGTAGTGATTATATTCTATCTCATCCGGTGAATTGTGTTGGTAGTCAATCAAAGTGGTCAGGAGCCTAGCAGGGTTTAATTTGAGTTAATTCGTTAACGGAGGTAAAACCGATCATTGGCGACGATTAACTTCACTGCAAGTGTTGGTCACAAAGTGACTGTCTTCCTGAACTTCGTAGCGAACTCCCACCCTGAGCATTGGCATGGTTCACAAGCATTGACGGATTGCTTGATCTTTCTCATTCCTGGCCACCATGCCACTTCAGTGAGCTTGTGTGATACTCCATAGAATGCTGCGCAACTTGGGTCAAGACTTTTCGTTTTTCTCCATTCTTGAGGAGAATTAGGCGACATAACAGATTTTGCTTGTTGAGAAATAATCGGTAGGCAAATCCAGTTACTTTTTCTCTCAGCGACGGGTCAGAATTGAGTGCCTCTTTGGCACGATTCGCTTCAGAATCACGAACTTGTTCGTAACGTAGCCGCTGCAATCGTGAATCATTGCAGTTGTCCGGCGACTTGTAATCCGTTGCATCACTTTGTTCTGTTGTGGACCTCCATGCGCCACATATTTGTTGTAATCCCACGAGTCTCCTATAACTGGGTACAATAAAGCATGACCACCCTAGAAGGTCATTCCCGATACCATAATCGCAAGCACCTAAGTTCTGCGATGACTTACCGTGACTCCATTATCCGAGTCACTAGACGTCTGGCCTGTAGGCTCTAACACGATTGGGGCGATCATTTCTCCCTTTGGTTTTTCCACGGAAATGCATATGTTCGTTTCCGGAGCTCGTGATAACATATCCGCATGAATATTCTTCGCTGCTATAACGGGATATATTTCTAATCGTATAGACCGGCGTCGCCAATCGAAATTCAAATCAATCATCATATTCCGGAGTCGCAAAGAATCTTGCTTCTCCAATGCCTTGCTCCCAGATGTCAAGGCTCACAGGTCTTTGTTTCCGTGTGACACGTGAATCAGTGTCCACTCTGATTGATTTCAGATTTGGCATTATTACCAATAGGGTATCCAATCGTCGGTGAAACATTGCCAATCCGTATAGTTCTTTACGATTTTGCTTCTTATTGAAGCCCTTCGTCTCAGAATACACTATCGCTGATGGATTGTAGATATTATCAGTCCCATCTACCAGA